GAACGATCAATAGAATTTTTAGCAAAACAAAAGACGAAATAAACAAAGAACAACAACATAACGTGGTTTACGAAATCAAATGCAATGGTAAAGCTAGCGAAGCATGCAATAAAATATACATAGGCACAACGAAGCGCGCTCTTGGTATTAGAATAAGCGAACATAAAACCGACGCAAGAAATAAGAAGACAACGACTGCATTAGCACAACATTTAACGAATAGCGGGCATACAGCAGACTTTGAAAACGCGAAAATATTAGATGTGGAGAGCAGAGATAGAACTCGACTAACATTAGAAAGTTTGTGAATACAACAAAAAATACAGAATGCAATGAATTTTAAGGAAGACGTCGACAATATAAATTGCGCATACAGGACAGCAATAATGGTCAATAGGAGAACAGACGAGAGAAGTACACTTATATGGTAGACAGATGAACAAAATTAATTTGAATTAAGAAGCACAAATGCAAATTGAAATTACACCCTGACAGACGGCAACCTTGTGCATTTAAACAGCTGATATTGAAGAATTTTGTTTTCTGTAATCGCCAAGTGAAAATGGATAGAAGAAAAATTTTGTTATTGACAGCTATTCTGTTCGTAAAAAATCAAGTTTTATTTTGTGAAAAAATTCAGTTACTATTACTTAAATTAATAAATAATAGGGCGCAAATAAATTCTATTTTGAGCAGTCACGCGATCCTACGAGCAAGGATTGCAAATGCCCAGTCCGACGTACGGCGGATCTGGAAATTCGTAAGTAAAAATGTTCTTTTATAAGGATTTTAACCATTAGTTGTATCCCTAAAGGACCGCAGTAGCAGATTTTGGGAGCACGATGTCCGTGCAATGGACGACGCAAGATTCAGAGGAAACTTTCGTCTCGATAGGAGGGCTTTTCAAAAAGTGTGCGAAAAAGTACGAAACATGGAGAAAATTGATAGCAACTTGAGGCGTTGTATTCCACTCGAAAAGAGGGTGGCTATCGCACTTTTCTCATTGGGTTCTGCAGCAGAGTATAGAACCGTTTCTAGTTTATTTGGAGTTGGCCGAAGTACTGTTGGTGAAATTGTTCTGGATTTTTGCCACTCAGTTTGCGATAATTTTGCGGATTGCATTAATACATACCCCCCAAATCAACAAGAAATCAAAAGAATCGTAGACGGTTTCGCAGTCCTAGGGTTTCCGCAATGCTTTGGAACTGTAGATGGATGTCACATTGAAGTGCAGACAAGAAAGGAGGATGCCGTAGATTACCACAATTACAAAGGATGGTATTCCGTGGTTTTATTGGCAAGCTGTGATCACAGGTATGTAAATTTATGGCTGCACTGTATCGCATGCATATGTATATTTTTAAATTATTTGGACTTACAGGTCAAAATTTACGTATATTAACATTGGATCTACTGGAAGAAATAATGACTCTTACATATTTGAAAAAAGTTCATTAAAACAATTTCATGAAAGCGCAGACATTTTCGTACAAAATAGCGAGCTTATTGGCGGATTCAATATACCTGTGCTACTTATGGGCGATTCGGCCTTTCGGTTATCGCGCCACATGATGAAACCATATCCATATGTAGCTAACCAACCAGCTGCTGAAAAACTCTTTAACTATCGACTGTGTGATCGAAAATGCTTTCGGCCAGCTGAAGGCTCGTTTCCGAAAAATAGTGAGAGGCTTACAAGTAGCACCTAAAAATGTTAACGTTATAATACAGGCCAGCTGTATTTTACACAATTTTTTAAAACTTGAGAACGATGAAGTTTCTTCCGTCTGGATGCAGGATGCAGCAGAATACGGATCAGCAAGGAATCAACCTAATCACACAACAAGAGTTGGTGAAAATGACCTAACAGCAGCGGCTATAAGGAAAGCCATTGCTATGAGTTTTCGTAAGTAAAAAGACTCTATTTTGCTGCTCGCAGTAGTTATTTTTATTTAAATTCAACCACAGTCACCATTCACAATAGAAAATATATGCCAATTTTGGACAGCGTTGCCAAATGCAAATTGGAAAATCCAGTATAAATGCTCATTTATTTCGTGCATTTCCATCGAGTCAATGCGCATTTGTGAGAGGATTATTCACGAGTTAAAGCAAATAAATGCTGCTAATGCAAATAATCCCATCAATCTGTCTACCGTATTAAACATAAATAAGTTGAAATCAGTGTGTATTTTTGTTATATTTTCTTTGTTTGATGTTCAATGTAAGTTATGTTTTGCGGGAAAAATTGTTACACCAACGTATTGTACATGTTATAATTTTTATTTACATATATTTGTGCCTAATTGTTTGTTTTTTATGTTTTGTTTTCAATAAACACCAGACTCCCTGAGGAAAATGTGAAAAACATCGAAACGCGTAGGAGGAAAAAGAAACATTGTTTGCTTAAACTACCTATAGGAAATTGAAAGTTGGCCCTAGAAACATAAGAACTAAGAAGTTAAATTTACGGAACAATTTATTAATATGAACCAAACCGAACAAAAAATACGGGTTTTCAAATATCTCGACACCTGCGCCACCTAGCGGATTAGTTCAACTTTCGTATTGCATTGTCATCGGGTTCTGAGCTAAGTTTGCAGTTTCAAATCTCTATTTGACCGGGAAGTTTGTTAAAATGGTTTTCAAGATTTGATTACATAGGTGAAAGTAAATAAAAGCTTCTAAAAAATAGTATGTATTGTGCTTTATGATTTTCTAAAGTAGTTTAAATATAAAAAAAGCTCCTAACGCAAATCTTACTTCAATATAAAAATCGTCTCACTTAATAAATCGTTGAAGAATTTGTTTAATCGGTTAAGTCAAAATTAGTGCAAAAGACTAAATTATTCAATACATTGCATACAAATTCTTTCATTTTTTGTTGTGGTATATATTCCTTAAGGTAACAAAAAAGTAGGAAGTCTACTATTATTTCTTAAATGGGCTTCATTTATTCCCCGCTTCTCGCGTACTTCCAAAAGAGAACATTGAGCTAAGGGCATACAAGTTGGCGCTGTCACAACGTGCAACACCTTGTATTATTGCATCATGAGTGAAACCGGCTGTTGTCAATTTTCTTAGGTTGCAAACAGAGTGGAAGCGAAGCCGATGACGAAGATGAAGACGAAGCCGAAGACGAATTGCTTGCGTTGCGGGCAAGCTGGCGAGTGTACATAGTGGAAGATGAATGATATGAAGATTTCTTTCTAAATAAAACCCTTTTTTTAGATAAAGTCAAAAGAAAAAACAGCAATTCATGAAATAATTTGTACAGGACAACTTTTGGAGAATTTCGCCACTTGTATTATGTGTTACGGCAAGACGGACAGACATTTTTCGAATATACAAGAATGCCAATTAATACGTTTGATTACATTTTGCCAATTTCTTGAAAAACGCGTATTTTCATAATTGCAAACAGTTAATTCAATTGTAAACAACTCATCACAGCAAGCGAGTCGTCTTTGAAAAGAGTACCGCACTGTTTCAAGCTGACCGCTTGCGCAACGTCTTCATCTTCGTCTTCGTCTTCGCTTGCACTGTGATCACTTTCATATGCAGGGTTGCCACTGACGAAAAAAAAATATTTACCATCCACTTGAAAAAAATCTACCAAATCTGGGAAATATCTACCAATAACTTTTTTATAATTTTTTTAATAAAACTATAGTTTTGTTATTTTCTTATTTATTCTAATTAAAACTATAGTTATTTTTTTTCGTTATTTCAATAAGAATTAAAATTGTTTCTAAGAACTTTTTATTTCACTAGTTATACGGTATTTGAGTCATATTATTGGCATATTTTCAGTTGCCTTCAACCAAACGCGGAAGTGATGAAACTAAAGGCAACAATGAAACTTCATTATTTTAAAACTTCAACTCGAGCTATTATAGACAAATACAGTATCTCAAAAAAAATATTTTTTTTTTAATATTCGAAATATTTTTAGAGTAAAAATCGAGGATTCAAATACATATATACATATAGAAAATTTCAAAAAATTTTCGTCTAAATTTCGAATTTTGTACACTGCATTTTTAGAACAATTTAAGGTATAGAGTTTTAAAGCAAATACTATTTGAGTATAGTCAACAATGGGCTGCTTAAAATTCCCGTTGATTTTTTTATATATTTTTTTCATTAATAAAATATGGCGTTGATTTACGAACAATCATAGTGCGTAATTACATACCTGTAAATTTTTTCTTTATATTTAAATAATCATTCAAAATATTTAAGCAATCAAAAGCTCCTCGGGATTCCAGTAAAATTAGTTTTGAATGGAGCGCGATATGTTCGCCTTATATCGATATACATTTATACGTATGTCTTCTTCTTCTTCTTATTTGGCGCTGTAACCGCCTAAGCGAT